AAAAAAAAACAAAAAAAAAAAAAAAAAAAAAAAAAAAAAAAAAACCTAAAGTTTATTTGTTACACCAATAATGAAGTGAAATATCTAATATGTAGTTTTTCATGATGTTAGAAGTGTGCCTTGGAATATAAGCATTTTTAATTAATTTCTGTTTTATGTGAAAAAATTATACAGTACTACAGGACAGTATAATCTCGTTTACTGAATTACTGGTGTAAACCAATCAAAACTAGATGGCAAGAAATGAATCAAAGAAAACCAAAATATATTCCAAAGATGTACTTATCTCGTGTGGTTTTCCATAGAGTAATATGATAGAATTCAGATTTTGTTGGATTCTTAAAGATGAAATAGTTCATTAATTTTTAAAATTTTCATGTCTATGTGTAACCCCAACTTTACTAAATGATGTTTGAATACTTGCATGTTAAATAACCAAGTAATTTACTATTTCTGTTTAGAAAGTAATCAAATAAATATAACTAAAACAGGAATGCTGGTGGTGAAAGACTTTCTGGAGTCTATGTCTGGAGTTTACACATGTACACTTTCTTATAAGACTGTCAAAGCAGAAACCCAAGAAGAACATATGATAAAGAAGACATATGACTTTATGATCTTTGGTAAGAACTTAGGCACATTTTAACAAAACAATATCTTGGAATGTAAAAAAATAATAAATAAATTTTGAAAAAAGCAAGTGTAGGGCCGGCCCGTGGCTCACTCGGTAGAGTGCGGTGCTGATAACACCAAGGCCACGGGTTCGGATCCTATATAGGGATGGCCGGTTTGCTCACTGGCTGAGCGTGGTGCTGACAACACCAGGCCAAGGGTTGAGATCCCCTTACCGGTCATCTTTTAAAAAAAAAAGCAAGTGTATGGATTCTTCGTTTAGTGAAAATGAGTCTGTTATAGGTAATCATTGTGATTTATGGAGTATTTTGGGGTGTATTTGACTAGGCAAACTCTTAAACTGACATCCAGATAGTTTGTCCTAAATAATCCTCTTTCATCTCCTCACTTCACACTGTCTAGGTGTGCAAACACAATCTACTTTATCACAATTTGGCAGGTAATGTAAAAACTGGTTTTTAATCCTATGAAAGCATATTAATGATTCTTTCACTGGACTGTGCTGACAGCAGTGACACCTTCTGCAAGTTAAGAGCCTCCCCAAAAACAATCTTATTTTTTTCTTGATACTGTTAACTTACCTATATAGCCAACCCATGAAGCCATTTCTCCTCTTGTACTAAGTAGATCATATATCAGATGAAAATGATACTTTTTATTAGTTATTTTATATATTTTTGTGAGGACAAACTGATAAATCATTTAATTAAGTAAAGTTTCTATGCTGATTTTCAAGATTGATGGGATTTAGTATTACATGTTATTTGGAGATTGTTTGGTAGAAGAAATTAATGCTAGGTACAATTGTTTTTATTCTCTTTTTTTTAAGCCTATCGGGAACCTGATTATTCATATCAGATGGCTGTACGTTTTACCACAAAGTCTTGCATAGGAAGATATAATGACCTGCTCTTTACAGTGCTGAAGAAAATCTTGGATAATTTAATCTCTGATTTGTCATGCCATATCATAGAACCATCATATAGATGCCATTCTGTTGAAACTCCAGAACATAAGCTCATACATGAACTATTTATAGCCTTCCAAGGTAAGAAAAAAAAAATTAACTTTTTAAAAATTTTGAGTTTAGTCCTGAACCATGATAGATTGTAAAATTAATTGCCACATTAATATGAGATTTCTTATAAATAATAGGTCCTAAATGTTTGTTATGCACTAAAGTATATTGTTGGTCGTAGCCCGGTTACAGTGTTATTTACCTTCATATATCATATATTGTTGCTTATCATTTAGAAGTCAATATCATTTTAATATAGCTTTAAAGGGATGTAGCTAATATGTCATTTATAATTTCTTATAGAATTTTAAATTATATTTTTGAGATCTTATTAAAAGGGAGTAACCAAACAAATTTATTTCTATTCATTTTAAAGCCTTGTGGTTACTTCCATTAGCCCCCAGATGGAGTGAAATCCAAATTATGCACCTTACATTATCACTACAGTTAGGTAGCTGGATTAAACGCATGCCTGCTTGCTTACTGAATTCAGCATTTGGAACTTTATTGAAATGTTTGGAACTTTTTACAATCCTTTTGTAAACCTATCATTTTTTTCCTCTCCAGTTAATCCTTTTGCTGCAGGGTGGACAGATGCATGCAGCGATTCTGTTGACTGTGAAGATATCACTAATCGTAATATCCTCCAGGTGAGAATTTCATTGTAAGGGGAAAGTATTTGAATAGTCAATCCAGCTATTTAAAATTTTTTGCAAATACTTAATTTTTTTTTTTTCCTTTTTGTCTTTTTTCGTGTCCGGCAACGGATCGCAACCGTCAGAGTCGCGCCCGTACTGGACCTGGACCGGGACCGGCAACGGGATCGCAACCCTCGGTGTTGCGCCCGCACCTCGCTCAGCCAGTGAGCGGGAACCGGTCTGTATGTGGGATCCCAACCCTCGGCGGGAGCGCCGCCGCGCTCCCAAGCGGCGCACTGTAGCAGTGCACAACCAGGCCGGCCCCTTAATTTTTTTTAATTAGAAAGTTTCTTCAAAAATCTGTTTCTTTATGTTGTGAATATTTATCAATAATAAAAACATGTCTAAGGAGTAGTTTTAAATTATTTTTTAAAAAACTTAAATATGCATTTGGAAGAAAAATAAATAAAATAAAAATAAAAAATAAAAACTTGAATATGAAGTAGAGTCATTTTTGTTTTCAGTTTTTTAAACTGAGATTGTGAGATTCTTGCCTGTTTTAAGATGTATCTTGGAGTAGTACATATGAAATATTATATAGCTCCTCGTGTTAATATTATTCATTTTATCTGTAACAGAAGGATGGATCCCTGGTCTTTGTTCCCCAAATGATGATTAAACAGCAGCTTGAAGGGGCTGGCCCATGGCTCACTTGGGAGAGTGCGGTGCTGATAACACCAAGGCCAAGGGTTCGGATCCCATATAGGGATGGCCGGTTCGCTCACTTGGGAGAGTGTGGTGCTGACAACACCAAGGCCACAGGTTCGGATCCCACATAGGGATGGCTGGTTTGCTCACTGGGTGAGCGTGGTGCTGACAACACAGGCTCACTGGCTGAGCGTGGTGCTGACAACACCAAGTCAAGGGTGAAGATCCCCTTACCGGTCATCTTTTTAAAAAAACAAAAACAAAAAAGCCCCAGCAGCTTGAAGAAGAACCTTACAATCATGTCATCCTATGTTAAGCCAATGGTGCTTCCAAAATTATACTGGTCATAATAGTTGCTCTGTCCTCTGCCATCCTCAGAGGCTAAGGATGTATTCCTAAAAATCCCTTCACTCTGCTGGTCTGCTTCCTCAGCCCATACCCTTAATGTTGTGCATGGCTTATAGGAAGCACTCAGTTAATATTAGTTATTAAACTCTGTGCTCAAAAAAATAAAACAATTTACATCATTAGTATGTGATGTTGATTATAGAAAAAGTCTTAGTTTCCATTTTGCTTGGCTCTTTCTTTCTTGGTGATCATATGGAATTAGAAATAATGAACCCCCAGTTATCTACATGCGGAATAGGCCTGTTGCAAATAGTTCAAAAGAAGGGTTTTTTAAAAATTTTTTTCATCTTTTTTAACCATGGTAATGTGAATTGACAACAGTTGTTAAGGTCAAGGCTAGGCTAATTTTAGTATTAACACATAACTAACTGTTCAGGAATTCATCTGTTGTGTAAAAGATGCCATGCTCATACTACATTTCATTGCCTCTGATACAGGAGGAGAAATTTGCTTCATGGTATAGTAATTGTACTTCTCTTTTATATTTTAAAATCTTAGGCAAGAGATCGGATAGAAGAATTCTTTCAGAACCAAGCACATATTTTGTACCATAATTTTAATAAAACTCTACCAGCTATGCATTTTGTGGACCACAGTCTTCAAGTAGTACGTATGGATAGCTGTCGATCAGGATTTGGAAAAAACATAGGTCTACACAGTAATTGTGCTAGCTGTTGCGGTAATTATAAAATTTATCTAAATATTTAGGTTATATAATCAGAAAAATAGATGAGTAATTCACTTAGGATAATTGAATTGAATGCTTACACTGATTCTCTTACCAAAAATTATATTCAGCTAAAGGGAAGTAAAAAGTCAAAGCTCAAATTTCTAAATATAATTATCTTAATGTATATTAATTCTTCCAATGTACTCTTTTCTATTACAAAATATTTCTATAGCGTTCTGACTTAAGCTACTGTACTATGAAGGAAAAAAGAATGTTCTTAGCTAGAAAACAGAGAACTAGGAAATAGGAACTAGAAAACTAGAAATAGGAGCTCATAAATGGGTACTGCAGAAGATACTGTAAAATACTAATACTAAAGGGAAAATAGGATTCTATTCTATTCTCCTATTTTTGAGGTCATCAAGTTACAGTGTTTGAAACTTATAAATAATTTCCAACAAATTAATTGGCAGAACATTGCTCAGTATAATATAGGTATAGAAATGGTGTGATATTGAAGACAGATTTATACTATTGGTTATAGTATAGTATAACTCTTAAGTTATAGAAGTATCAAGTACTATAAATTATGATAATCTACCCCATGTATTTTTCTCTGCAGTGGTTTGTAGTCCTGGGACTTTTAGTCCTGATGTTGATGTTACTTGTCAGAGCTGCATTTCCGTCCATATCTACGGAGCTAAATCTTGCCCATAAACTTCAAACGAAAATCAGCAATATGAGGACTAGAGGTGAAAGCACTATTACTTGCTTGTGGAGGTGGGAGACATAAAGTGATTTGTTCACATTCCAGAATATGCTAGATAGTTCTATTAAGTAAGATCAGTAAGTTCAAAACATTGGAAAACATAGATATTAGAAACTTATAAAAAAGTAGACATGGCATTTCTAAGAACACATTTAATTCAATATCATCAGTGTACAAAGTAAGTTTAAGTATTAGTGGGTGATTTTTAATGAAATGTGTTTTCTTGTTTACAAGTTAAATCTGTTGCTATGTACCTAAGACTATATATAGGTCAAGAAGAGTAGCAAAATATAATATAATAAAAATTTTATACTTTCTATACTTTTTTAATTCAATTTTATTTATGTTTATTTTTGTGGCATACAGTGTATTGTTCAATACATGCATATCTTGCATAATGATTCATTTAGGGTAGATAACATAGTTTTGTCCCCATTAGTTCACGCCTTATCTTCCCCCCCCCTCCCCGCCCCCATCCCTCCAGCCTCTGGTAACC